AGGATGGCAAGGAGTCAGAAAAAGATAGAGAAGAAGGTGAGGACTCAAATGAAGATGCGCAGGGTTCAGACGAAGAGGATGGCAAGGAGTCAGAGAAAGATGAAAAGGAGGAAGTTGGACAGGACACCGAAGATGAAAGTGCGAAGGATTCAGAAAGGGAGGATATGGAGGAAGATGTGCATGGTTCAGAGGAGGAGGATGGTAAGGAGTCAGGCGAAGATGAGAACAATGAAGGTGCACAGGACTCCGAAGAGGAAGGTGAGAAGGAAGAGGATGCAGAGGAGTCACAAGAAGAGAGAGAAGATGCAAAGCAATCAGATGAAGATGTGAAGGGTTCAGAAGAGGAGGATGGCAAGGAGTCAGACAAAGATGATGATAGCAAAGAAGTAGCGCAGGAGTCTGAAGGGGAAGAGGAGAAGGAAGCAGAAGGAGAGGATGCAAAGGAGTCAGAAGAGAGAGAGGATGCAAAGGAATCAGAAAAGGAGGATGCGCAGAAAAAAGACGAGGAATCAGGTGAGAAAACAGAAGACGATACTGAAGACGATGAGAAAGAAGATGCGAAAGGTTCAGGAGAAGAGGATGGCAAGGAGTCAGAAAAAGATAGAGAAGAAGGTGAGGACTCAGATGAAGATGCGCAGGGTTCAGACGAAGAGGATGGCAAGGAGCCAGAGAAAGATGAAAAGGAGGAAGTTGGACAGGACACCGAAGATGAAAGCGCGAAGGATTCAGAAAGGGAGGATATGGAGGAAGATGTGCATGGTTCAGAGGAGGAGGATGGCAAGGAGTCAGGCGAAGATGAGAACAATGAAGGTGCACAGGACTCCGAAGAGGAAGGGGAGAAGGAAGCAGAAGGAGAGGATGCAGAGTCACAAGAAGAGAGAGAAGATGCAAAGGAATCAGAAAAGGAAGGTGGATCAAGAACAGAAAAGGAAGGCGATGACAGTAGTGAAGGTTCAGAAAAGGAAGATGTGCACATGAAGGAATCCGAAGAGGATAGTGAGGGGGAACAAGACGGAAAGGAGTCCAAGGAGAGAGATGATGCGCAGAGCTCTCAAAGTGGATCCACGACGTCAAAAGAATCTTCTTCGGATGAAGATGAATCAGAAGGTGAGGAGACCAAAAATGAGGCTGAGGAGAAAGCTGAGAAAGCCAATGAAAAACCAAAGGGCCGCCCCAGTGCTGCTGCACTTGGCTTCTCAACAGTTGGAATGACACAAGAAGAAATTGAGAACGTCCAAAAAGGGAAGATCATGCCGAAGCGAAAAGCTAAGGCCAAGGCAAAGCAAACAAAAGCTGCTGCAGATGAGTCGGAGGACGAGGATGATGTCAGCATCAGCCCATTTGAGCAGCTGGTGCTCTCCGATGGATCTGAAAGCTCAAAGAAAAGCAGTGAAAGTGAGGGTGAAAAGCCAAAAGCCAGCCAGAGCAAGGCAGGGAGCAATTTCCGGATTCGATCTGAATTTCCAAAGACAAACATCAGACGGTGGATGTCTCCAGGTGCAAGGTTCGAAATACCGCCAAACCTTCCAAGTGCCAAAGCAGTCAGGAGAGCAAAGGCTAGATTAAAGCAAGTAAAGCTTGAGCGAGTTATGACCTTCAAGATGAAGAAACCCATGTCAAGTTTGGATGCTGTGAGAAGAGCTAAGACCATGATGGCACGCCGTACCACCCTTCCTATCGATCTGAAGGAGAAGACTGAGGAGGTGAAGGCTGGCAAGGGAGGGAAAGGTAGGAAGAGGAGCTCCGCGAATACGGAAAAGCCAAAGACTCCATCACCACCACCGCTGGCAAATGCTGTGGGACTTCCTGTCCCGAAGCACCGACGTCGAACAAAGAGCTTTCGATGCTAGACACAAGTTCATGAGTGAATTAGGCATGAAATCAGTGTTAACAAACATGAAGGTTCCTATGTGACCTGTAGGAGGCTTGACCTCAAACCAGGTTATCAAAAGGTCACAATTTGAAGAACCTATATCATAGTCTGGATACATGCCCAGCAACCCAGGAAGTCCCGTGGCTACGAGAGTTCCCGATGAGCCCACGGAGCCTTCCACCAAACCCAAGGAGGCGCCTCGATCAGCTTCTTCAGATACTGACCAGCCATGAAGTCTCCTAGAATGTTGGACGTGTAAGCCAAGTTCTTTTGTTACACATCGGACCCGAGTGCGATATATATTTTATCCAACACTGACCCCACAACCCCTGCCGTCCTGCTGGAAGGAAACCGCCGGGACATCTGGTACACATGTATCGACCGTCAACCACAAGGACTTTCCGTTTGCATCGTTCAGCGTAGCGATCAGCAGGATTCAAGAGATTGCACTATCAAAGGCCAACTGCAGAGTCCCATGCCCTGAAGACCAATTAGCACTATTGCGCTCTAAGCAGGGAAAACCAGAACGGTTGAAACTCAGCTTCGATTCAAGTGTACATTACGATCTATAGCTACTAGCTAGCTCAAACCTTTTATGACTAGTATTGCATGATATTGTGCATTCTTCTCTTCAACCACACCTAATGCTAGTGGTAGCTAAGGAAATACGAAATCGTTGAACGTGCTGATGTGAAGGATTGGACGATTGAGGTTCGCAAGCGGTTGAAAGGCAAACTTGCCGGGGGTGTATATAAAGTGTTCATTTCACCTACAGGGGTCAAACATTATTCCCTGTCATCGGCAATCAATGGTGGATTTGCTCCGGATCACACGATGGATGGTCGAAAGGGCCGTCGTAAGGGAAAGGCAGCAGCTGGAGGTGCCTAGATTGGATTATAGGACTTGCTTGGAACCTATCGATCTGCAGTCATTAACCATGGACCATGGCATGTGTGTTTTGATTTGGTGAGGCCTTCAGCAGGGTCTTTTCTGGGGCACAGCAACCCACTGCAAAGCTACTGTCAATTGTTTGAGACAAGATCTGGCGCTAAGCCTTCCAGGCAAAGCTCATTTGACTGTGCAGTGGGGGTTGCTTTTTCTGGTATGTGTGCAACTGACCAGGGTTGCACGAATCCTCAGGGTTGATCGACATGTTTACTGGGTGAAAAGCATCATGTATGGCGCACATCTTTTTGTGCATGCAGTGCTTTTTTGTGCAGCATGCATGGCATGCATTGCATTGCATGCGACCTGCAAACTAGGTTGCCTGAGAGTTGCCTGGGGCTCACATAAGTTGGCAAAGCCCAACAGGTCCCATGAAAGCGCGCAATCTTTTGGTGGTCTTGTTATTCCTGGCCCAGTTGCAGCTTCCTAAAGAACACAATGATTTTGTCCCCTGATTGCATTTGATCAATCTTGTGAACCTCAGCGCTTTCACCTCCAACCATCCACCCGCACACAGTGTCCATCCCATAGAGTCCTGTGAGTCTTGAGGTGGAAGTCTGCTCTGGATGCGGCAACCTCAGCAAGGCGATGCGCATGTGCGATTGGAAAGGCAAATCATTTGATGTGGCTTGGCTGATGGGGGCTTTTGATCGAGAGTCGAACAACTTGGTCTGGGTTCATGGTTTGCACCAATTCAGTATATGGGTATTTAATGGCCAGTTCATCGCAATTGATAAGTTCATCGCAATTGATAATGATACCTGCTACCCCTTCGAATTTGTGTTTGATTGGCTAAGATCCTCTACAGCCGGAACCACGACTTCATGCGCACAGTTGGGTTCTTGGCTGTGCTTGCTGCAGCATCTCTTCCGCAATGGGGGAATCGTGGAGTCTACATTCTACATGTGTGCATGCATGCATGTTTCTGTTGGATCTAGTTTCCTAGGTATGGAACACCAAACCTGGTGGACTGCTCGTCTTCGCCCCTCCTTGCTCCACCTGGGTTTTCCTGAGTACCTCTGTTACAGGGCGCAGTTGGAGCCAACCTCAAGGCAATGGCTGCCGATGTGTGACTCTGGCCAACATCTTTGCCCATCGCATGATCTATGTGCTACTCAGCGGCCTAGGTATCGTAGGTCTGTTATTTTTGTGGATCAATGGTTGCTCCTTGCTCCGAGCTGTTTGTGGTTGTGCCAGGCTGTACTTTGCGGTCAAGCGTGGGGTGAGGATCCTAATCGAACAACCAGCAAGCTCAGCTACTTGGTTGGACTAGCTGCATGGTCTCATAGGCTGTTAATGTTAGCTGAC